AAAATCTATTTCAATCTATCCATTTACTCCTTTCCTGTCCCATTTTGTGGTTCAGGAAAATTAAATGGATATAATTCTCTCTATTGACTTCTTAACTTCTTTGCTGAGATCACAGGCAATGATGGCTTGATGCTGGGAACAAAGAAGGCCCAGACAGTACTGTTCAGCAAGCAATTATTTTATACCTTTTCTTTCACTGGTTAAAATAAAAGAACATAATATTGACACCATACAAGCAAATGAACAATAAAAACACTTATGCTGAATACAAGTGCATTCTACATCATATTTTTTATTATTAAGGAAGCTTTACTGTAAAAGAAAGGCTTTGTTATTAACACATTCAGTGCTAAAGGGCTCCCCAGTAGAAGGACTGCACCAGAACACGAAGCTTGGAATACTGTATATGCCAAGAATGACAGCTTGCATGTTTGGTGCTGGCTTTCATTTGGATACACCTGTAACCAGAGCAAGGAAGAGTAGAAATTGGCAAGCTGACTAGAGCAATGTATCAAATTACTTTTTAAGAAATTTAACTGTCTACTAAGTATTTAATGTCAACCAAGTATTAGGTGGTACTTCACAAACATCCCAGTTCTAAAAGGCTATCAGAATGAGAACTTCAAGAGGACAAGGCCACTGATCTAACTGTGGAATCTCTCCTGTAGAGTAAGAGTGGCCCTGGAGAAACACCCCAAAAATCTAAATGGATGTGGAGTAAATATGGCAAGAAGGGATGATTAACACCAAGAAAGCAAGATTCAGAAGTTGTCCAAGAAAGCTGCCAAGGTCACATGGATAAGAAGCTGCTGAATAATTCTTTATACCCAGGTCTTCTTAAATTCAAGTCCAGGTCACAGATACACTAAAAGTAACAGTGAAATAGATCATATCCACATCGCTCTGGCTTCTCACCACTAAGAGGCAGCATTTCCAAGACATTCACTTTGTGTTTTAATCTTTCTTTTAAAATTTCCAATGGCTTTAGCGGTACTTTAATTGAATATTCTTTTTTAAAATTTTAATGCATTTTTAATGTTATTGTAAAGGTGATGGACAGAGGGGTTACAGTTAAATAAGCCAGGTAAACAGTACATTTCTTTTTGAACAGTGTCACCCCTTCCCTCACTTTCACCCAGTTTTTCCTTCTTATCCCCACCTGTAAGTTGTATCTTGCACTTTCAATATAATGTCAAGTGAGTACCACTGCTACAGTCTTTTACACTTTGTCCCACAATTTCTGTGCTGCCCCCTTGCCCTCTCTAAGACAAACCAACAAACAAGAAAAAAGGAAAAGAAAACAGGGCTGGGAAGGTGGCTCAGTGGTAGAGTGCTTGCCTTGCATGCACGAGGCCCTGGGTTCCATTCCTCAATACCACATAAGCAGAAAAAGCCACAAGTGGCACTGTGGCTCAAGTGGTAGAGCGCTAGCCTTGAGCTGAAGAGGTGAGGGGACAGTGCGCAGGCACAGAGTTCAGGTCTCACGACTGGCAAAAAAAAAGGAAAAGAAAAAGAAAACAGCAACATCAAGAAAGAAAAGAACCTCTTATTTCCATTTCCTAGAGCTCATTTCGATAAATATTAAGACATTCACTTTTAGGAGTTAACAGTAATCTCCATTCTTGCAAAACAGTGACCACAACAAGGTCTTGAAGAAGAGAAGCCTGTTAGCAAGACCTAGCAAAGCACAAAGGAAGTGAGCTAAGGACTGGCATGCCAGAGTAAGAGAGTTTGACTTTTGCTCTGTAAATTTGTTTTATAATGAAATTTTCACCTACCATTATACTAAACATGTCCTTATGTTTCCTTCTGGACTAGAACTTGATGGCTTACACTTATTTAAATTTTTATTTTGAAAAAATAAAAAACCAACACTCACAAAATGTTGAAAAGTAAGCTTTGTGCTTGTGGCTCACTTCAGTAATCCTAGCTACTCATGAGTCTGAGACCTTAAGAATCATGGTTCAAAGCCATCCTAAGCAGGAAAGTCTGTGAGACTCTTATCTCCAATTAACCAGCAAAAAGCTAGACTAAAATGTTAAAGTGCCAGCCTGGAGTGAGAAAGCTAAGAGATCAGTACCCAGGCCCTGAGTTTAAGCCCTAGTACTGGCAGCAAAAGAAAAAAAACTGAAATATACAACAGAAGGTTCCTTTGCATCCAGCATCCTCTAGCAGCAAGAATTCCCCCAATTTTCTTAATAAAAATTAAGAAACTGACAAGTGACTGGAGGGCAGAACTTGCTTAAAATTCTGCCCAGTTTTTCATGCACGTCATTTTTCTTGTAGATATGTCCTGTGCATAGGTCTCAGGAAGAGGTGTTCCTCTGTAGCTACAGAGCAAAGTTTACTGCACTGAGATAGGAAAGGATGCCTCAGGCAGGTCTGCAATGTGCAAATCCTTTCTACCTCACGGGCTCAAAGTTGTAGGAAGGAAAATTTGTTTTAAAGACCTCAAGAAAAAGGGGTGGAGTGGGGCAACTGAGGAAATAAGTCATTTCTCTGTGTTTAGCTAGGTAGGCTCTAAGAGGCTAAGGTGCTTGGAGACCAATTTGGACAAAAAAATTTGGAGTGACCCCATCTTAATGAAAGCTGAGTATGGTGGAATGCACTTACTATCCCCAGCTACAGGGAAAGCATAAATATAGTTATGATCTAAGCTAGCCTATTTCAAAAATACCTAAAGCAAAATGGGTTGAGTTTGTGGCTCAAGATGTAGAAGGCCTGCTTTGCAAGAGTAAGGTCCTGAGTTCAAAACCTAGTATGGCTAAAACAACAACAAAAACAGAGCAAAAAGACAAGATTGTTAGTTCTTTTACAGATAAGGAAATTAAGTTTAGAGAAATAAAGTGATCCAAGTAAAGCTAAAGCTAGCTAATAAGAACTGGGATTCAAAAACGGAGTGGGTAAGAATAGAGGCAGATCATTAGGTTCAAGTCTACTTGCTAACAGTGTATAAATGTGTTAAATCTACTATACACAGCACCCACCATATTGCCTGGTTCAAAGATCTTCAATATCTATCAGTTGCCTGCAAATGTATTAAAACAAATACAACCTCTGACTGCTTGCTTGACTGGACTGTGTGCACACGTGCACAGAGGAATAGCAACCCATGATCCACCAAAGTGTGGAGTAGACAAATGCAGAAACCTGGGGTTATTGACTTTTGAGTTAAGACAAATACATGTAGTGTCCTGGAAAGGATCAAGATAACCCTTGTGACATACCTAGCTCAGAGAAAAGAAGAACTTCCTGAGTCTTTTGTCAGTTATTACCAAAGTGTCTGAGTCTTCTTTTACTTCCTTTCTCCTACCTCCCACCCTCTGAACAACCTCACAGACAGAAAGGCAAGTCATACTCAGAAGGAAGAGGAAATGAGATGGGCCCTTTTCTAAATAAAAGAGATTCAAATTCACCCACCATGATCTGTTAAACCAAAAAGTGCGGGAACAATTGGTTCTATGTTCAAAATTATCCTTTCTTAAGTTTTTGAAATGAAAAAAATATTTCTATATTCAACATTATTTTCTTTCAGGTCACAACATTGATTCATGGGCATAAATTTGAAAAGTGTAATTAAGCTGTTCAGAAGATAGATACATACACATAAATTACTAATATAAGAAAAAGTATTTTGACTGGTCAAATATTCTGCAAATATTCAGGTTAATAAGATTGGAAAGGCAGCTGTATTTTTCAAATATATGTCTACACCTGAAAGGTTTTCATGGCAAATGGATTTATGATAGGGTTATACCTAAGGTGACAGAAACTCATCTGATACATATGTGACTCAGGGTAAGGGCATTTGAGCTTAGAATCTGGTCCTTAAAGAAGACAAACGTGCTAGGTGTGAAGAATGGGAGAAAAGGAAGGGGTAACAAGGCCTCCTCCCCAGAGTAGGACTGAGGAAAAGTAGGATAATGAATCGTTTTCTTTGGTACTACTGGACCTCCTTTCATCCTTTACCTGATTGCTTGAGACTTAGATGGAGACTTGATTAAACCAAATCACAAAGAAGTACAAAAGTTCTTAAGAGAAATACTTTCACCCAAACATCAATCAATTCACATTATCAGCCAAGTGGTGTTACCCAGAATACACCTTTCCATGTGTGAGCATAGTGTGAGGTGGAGGAGAGTATGGAACAATATGGCAATGCCCAGCCAAATTCTCTACCCTCCATCTTCCCATTTTCAAGTCCAAGTCTCCAGGATTCCTGCCTTTTATATATTCTTCCTGTCTTCAACCTCTGAGACTGTAGGTTCCTGAAATCTCAAAAAAAATTTTTCTCCTTGTGGAGTTGAAGGACTTTCATTATTTGTAAGGCAAGAGCCAATGTGTAGTTATCTTCACACAAGTGAGATGCAACAGTTACAAAGTATGTTGCTATCTATGTTCAACCCAGAAATTGCCACCTTTTAATCAAAAATCAAAGTTATCTAAGTGCCAGTGACTCACTTCTGAAATTCTAGCTATTTGGGAGGCTGGGATAGGGAGGATCATGGTGCCAGGGCAGCTTTAGAAAAGTTCAAAAGTCTCCATCTCCATAAAAAGAAGGTGGGTGTGGTAGTACTTGGCTATTCCTAGCTACAACAGGAAGAAAAAAATAGGAGGCTCTCAATCCAGGCATATATCTGGGCAGGAACTCTTCCTCAAAAACAACCAGCGCATAAGAAGCTGGATGTACAGGTAGTACAGAGTGAGAAAGAGGAGTGAGGAAACGGGAGAAAAAGAGGAAAAAGTTATCTTAAAAAAAAAGTTCAGATACAATAACTCTACTCTGCTATCTGCTGTGATATAGGTATAGAGCTTAGAAACTTCATATATACATATGTGTAAAACTCATAACCCTCCTAAATGGACTATACAGTCTTCTATTTTATTTTCTTTTTGCCTCCAGCATTGAGGGCTAACAGGAAAGCAATGAGCTGGTTCTCTGTGAGACCCTAGGCTCGGTCAGGCTATAATTCTCTCCCATCACATATGAGAAGGCTTACCAGATTTTTCAGCAGTGTGGACAGTTCCTTTGTAAGAGTAGAAAACTTGACAAAAGCAGTGCCAAGATCGGGGTTGTCCCGACTTAAAAAATTACTCCCAAATTTATCAAGAACTTGTGCATAGTTTTCTTCATTTTGTACATGGTCTGAAAAGAGAAGATGAGAAGGAGTGTAAGCTATTATTTCACAATGAATAGTCATACTGAACATTGATCACTGAAAACTCTCAAAAGAAAAGAGAAATTGCATCAACTATTTATTACACATGCCCAGCGGTTAGCAAACTGAAGGTTTTTTTTCCCCCCTTTCCTCATGACAGATCAAGCTGGCTGGCCTCAGATTGTAATGCTCCTGCTTCAGGTTTCTAAGTGTGTGTGCCAACACATCCAGGTGTCTCACTCCACTTTTTTGAAGGGTTTCCCTTTCACAGAATTTAGCTCTTCAGCTCTTTTTCTTGTCTTTTTTTTTTTTCTTTTGTCAGTTGTGGGGCCTGAACTCTGGTACTGGGCACTGTCCTTCAGCTCTTCAGCTGAAGGCTAGCGCTCTACCACTTGAGCCAGAGCGCCACTTCTGGCTTTTTCTGCTTATGTGGTACTGAGGAATCAAACCCAGAGCCTCATGCATGGAAGGCAAGCGCTCTACCACTGGGCCACATTCCCAGTCCCCATGTCATTTTAAACATTTAAGATTTTCTTAAATATTTAACAGTATATATTCTTAAATACTAGATTTGGGCTGGGCACCGGTGGCTCACACCTGTAATCCTAGCTACTCAGGAGGCTGAGATCTGAGGATCACGGTAGTGTCTCTTCCCCTAAGCTCTTGCTTTCCAGTCTATAAGATGAGGCTAAGGTCTATGGTAAAGGAATGTGCTGTTGAGTTGACACTAAGTATGTAAGATGTTCTCAACAGTGAATGTTCCACAAATAACAGCAGCTAACTCCATACAAATCCTCCTTCACTTGGCTGTCCTCCTAGCTCCCCACCACCACCCTCCATTGTTGTTGATAGCTCTTCATCTTTCTGACCTTCCCCTCAGGCCTGTCTTTGGTACTTTATTCTTCTCTACCCATGATTACTCTCTTGGATCTCACTTAAGTCTTATTGATTTAAACTTTCTGTTAGCTGGCAACTCTAAAATGGATATTGCAAGCCCAGAGCCCAATCCTGAAATATGGACTTAAATATTATTTAATATTTAACTATCTATTGAGGGGCAGAAAGAGAGTCATAGTTTGAGGCCAAGCCAAGCAAGCACACTGTCTATACCTCTGGCTACGTGTGAGGTATAGGTAAGGGGATCATGGTCCAAGACTGGTCTGAGGCAGAAGTATGAGATCTTACCAGAAAATAACAAAACCAGGGCTGGGAAGGTGGCTCAGTGGTAGAGCGCTTGCCTTGCATGCATGAGGCCCTGGGTTCGATTCCTCAGCACCACATAAGCAAAAAGAAAAA